GTATCAGCATCATCGGCATTCGCAAGATCCTCATCATCAGCATCATCAGCATAATATGCATCATCAGCATCAGCATCAGCATCAGCATCATCATCATCACCATCATCATCAGCATCATCACCACCATCATTGACATCATCATCATCACCATCATCATCATCATCATCATCACCATCATCATAATCATCAGTATCATCAGCAGCATCAGCATCATCATCATCATCACCATCACCACCACAATCATCATCATCAGCAGCAGCATCAGCATCAGCATCATCATCACCATCACCACCACCATCATCATCACCACCACCACAACCACCATCATCATCATCATCCTCATCATCAACATCACCACCACCATCACCATCAGCATCATCATCATCCGCCTCAGCATCATCAACATCATCATCATCATCAGCATCATCATCATCATCAGCAGCAGCATCATCGTCATCATCATCTCCTCTCCCCCGTCTCGCACGGCGCCCTCCCTCTGCCAGGGCCGCACTCGACAGAGACCTCAGAGATCGCCGACGCGCCCAAGCAGACCTCAGACCCTTGCTGTGTACGTAGTTGCTGGGCGCCCGCCGTCACCGCCCCGTGGCCTGGCGGCCAGACCCCCTGGGAGCGGGCCGGCCGCCGCCTGGACCCAGAGCAGGAGCTGGGGGCTGAGCGGGGGGCGGACAGAGAGCGGGACCGAGAGGAGAAGCGGAACTGGGAGGTGCGCCGCTCCTCCCTCGTCTCCCCCCACCCCTCCCCCTCTCCCTCCCTCCCTTTCCTCCCTCTCACCTCCCCCTCCCCTCGCCTCCCCCCTCCCGTCCCTCCCTACTCCCTCGCCTCCACCCCATCGTCCCATCACATCCCCCTCCCCTCTCCTCTCCTCCCCTTCTCCTCCCCTCCCCCTCCCCTCCTCTCCTCCCCTCCTCTCCTCTCCTACCTCTTCTCCTCCCTCCTCCCCTCCTCTCTCCCTGGGCAGGGGGCGTGTGGGGGGGGGGGGGGGGGCGCGCGGCGCGCGCCTCGGACGGCGCGGCACTGCCGCTCGCCCTCGAACGCGTCCCCAGCTCGGGCGGGCGGGAGGCGCCGGGGGGGGGGAGCGCGAGGGCCCCGGTCGGAGCGGGGCGCCAGGGAGGGGGGGGGGGGCGCTGTGGAGCGAGGGGAGGCTGGGCCGAAGGCAAGGAGGAGGAGGAGGAGGAGGAGGAGGAGGAGGAGGAGGAGGAGGAAGAGGAGGAGGAAGAGGGGGAGGGGGAGGGGGAGGAGGAACTCTCCTCCATCCATTGCCTGCGCGCGGGAGGGGAGGGAAGGGGAGGGATGAAGGAAGGGAAGAGCAGAGGGAGGGAAGGAGGGGGAGGGAAGGGGAGGGATGAAGGAAGGGAAAGAGCGGAGGGAGGGGAGGAGGGGGAGGGCAGGGCGAGAGGAGGAAGGCGAGGGGAGGAGAGGAGAGAGGAGGGGCGGGGAGGGGGGAGGACGGGAGGGGAAGGAGGGAAGGGGCGGGGGTGACGGCAAGGACAAGGCGCCAACTAGTAGGAGTTAGAACATGGAGGGGGGAGGAAAGGAAGGGAGAGGAGACGGGACTGGGGTGGGGGAAGGGGAAGGGCGGGGGGAGAGAGCGAGCAAGCGAGAGCCACGACCTCCTCCTGCCCTCCCCATTCAACGACATGGCTCGCAGGCCAGGCCCAGACCGACCGAGGTGGCCGCCAGGGCTGCTTACCGCTCGCGCTCGGGAGGGGCTCGGGGGCCTGAAGGCTTCTTGGGTCCCCAAAAATTGGGCAGGCCTCGTGGAGGAGCACACGTGGAGAAGAAAGATAAGAAGAAGAAGAAGAAGAAGAAGAAGGATAAACATATGAGGAGGAAAAAGAAAGTCCTCGAGGATCTGATCGTGTGCGCGGGTGATGGAGAAATTGCTAGAGCAGCGTGCGGAGGCCTGGGCAGTACACGTGCAAGAAGCCGGAAGCACGCGCGGCTGGATTTGCATGCGGAACGCGCGGGGGCCAAGCGGCGCTGCACACACGTTCGGAGGGCCAGACGCACTGGGCCACCCAGAGCCGACGGCTAGGAAGGCGCGCGGCCACATGCGTACACAACTCCCTCCCAGGCTGGCCGCGGCAATCGCACCCAGTCCCCTGGCACTAGCAGGGCTGAAAGACAGGGGGGGGGCGCTCGGGACCTCAAGGCCCCGAGCTGTGAAAGCGGAGGCGAAACAGAAACCTCCCCGACCCTCGGGCCCCCCGGGGGGACACGGACCTGACTGCTCGACCCGTGACATCGGCGGGCGCGCGCTCTCCACGTTCCCATCTGGCTTTTCCTTTTCTTCCTCCTACTCCTCCTCCTCCTCCTCGTCCTCCTTCTTCCTCCCCCTCCTCCTGATTCGCCGACCACCCCCCTGCCCCCCCGGCCACCGACTCCGACGCCACCGGCATCCGCTGCGGCACGCGGCGCCCGCCAGCCGCCGTTCGCGGGCGGCGGGCGCCGGGGGCCGGGGCGTCCCGCTCAGGCCATT